AAATACTTAGGAATAAAAAATATTGCTGTTGTGTCACCTGCGTAAATTACGCACAGCCCCTGAGACCATTTGGATCCCGCTGCTGTCTGACGCTGCAGCTCTTTAATAAAATAATACAGACGAAGGTTAAATTCTACATTCTCACAGCAGATTTTAAGATTTGTATTCGACAGGGCACGATTTGGATATCAGGAGGTGGAACTCCTCTCCAGTGGGCACCGGCATTGTGCCAAAAAGTGATCATCTGCCAAAAACTGATGGCGCCCTTCGTATCAAAGCTGTATTGCCCAGTTTATTTGCATTATTTTGATACTGTTATCTGGATCAAACACTCATAGCGTGCAAATAGACAGAACTTACTATATGTCTGTGGTGAGAACACAGACACAAAGATAAAGGGACGCAGGTTTTGGCGCAGCAGCTGTCCCGTTATATCTCCTGTCTACTGCTGCACTGAAAACATCCTCCGATCATCTACAAACATGAGATATCATCACACATGGTGTCAGTGACTGTACCTGTCTTGAGATATTTTGGATTTCAGCTTTGAAGGCTGCCCCAGAGTTTGCGCTGCTGTTCCTGGATCGCAGAAAATAACTGATCCACGAGACAAGCATCGAGTCTGATCACTGACAGAGGTGTGTCCGTGCGCGGTCACCTGACTCCTGACATCACGCAGGTATGAAAAGCAGCTGTTCTGAGGAGGGAATGGCAGTTAGAGCAGAGACAATAGGAAGCGAGGCACAGCCGCGCCCGCTCACACTTTAGTTTGTAGCTTTAAATTTTGCAGCCATGACTGCGAGGACGCGATGTTTTCAGCTGTTCCTCCTTTGGTGTTGCTCGCAGACTTGCCTGGCACAGAAAGGTAAGGTTTCCTTTTGCTCGTTTCTGACATTTATGTTTGTGTCGTCTTATAAAATGCTCAACTGGGGCAGAGTTGTGATCCAAAAACTGGTTTATTGAGCGCTATATGCTGAGTGTAGACTCTGCTTGATGAATGTTTTAGTCTTTGTTGCCTCGCATTGATCAGTTTTCTAAAATGAGTTTCATCCCAATAAAAAAAAAAAAAGACACACAGGTGTTGTAAGTCATATGACTCATGACGTTATTAGAGTGAGAAAACAGGTCACAGCTGATGGGAACTGATATTTGAGTTTCAGATGTTCTTTATATAAACCTGTTACACTTCTGCTTTTCATATATTTTAATATCGTGACCACACAGATGAGAGAGGCTTTACTGGGACTGAGACCAACGATGGGTTGTGGGTTGGCTCCCAGGCCCAAGAGGTCCTGAGCAGCCGCCTGACAACCATCTTCCTGCCAGTCGTCTACATCATCGTGTTCGTGGTGGGGCTGCCCACCAACGCCTTGGCCATCTGGGTGTTCCTCTTCAGGACCAAGACGAAGCACCCGTCGTCCATCTACATGGCCAACCTGGCTCTGGCCGACCTTCTGTTTGTCATCTGGGTGCCCTTAAAAATCGCCTACCACTTCAACAACAACAACTGGATCTATGGAGATGCACTGTGCAAGGTGCTGGTGGCGTTCTTCTACGGCAACATGTACTGCTCCATCGCCTTCATTGCCTGTATCAGCGTTCAGCGTTACTGGGCCGTGGTGCACCCGCTGTCCCAGCGTCCAAGGAGCAACCGCTTGGCCATTTCCGTCTCTGTCATCATCTGGGTGGTGGTGTGGCTCATCACCATCCCTCTCTACCTGTACGACCAAGAAGTGCGCGTGAGGAACCTCAACATCCTGACCTGCCACGACGTCACCAGGCCCGGCCAGAAGAAGATTGCAGCGGGATACTTCCTCACGATGGGAACCCTGGGGTTTGTCGCCCCCACTATTGTGTGCATCATATCCTACGTCCTCATGCTCAAGGCTCTGAGGAACAGCATGTCAGATCCCACCATTGCCAAGAAGCGCAAGAAGGCGGTGGTGCTGATCATCACAGTCCTGGTGATGTTTTTAGTGTGCTTCACCCCCAGCAACATCATGCTGCTGGTGCACTACATCCTCCTGCTGCGTGAGGCTGAAAACAACCTGTACGGATTTTACATCACCACGCTGTGCTTGGCCAGTCTCAACAGCTGCTTTGACCCCTTTGTTTACTACTTCATCTCTAAGGACTTCAGGGAGCACGTGAAGAACACGTTCCTCTGCAGGAGCGAGAGGACAGTGGAGAGGATGAGGGTCTCCTTCAGCGCCCTGAAATACTCCAAAAAGAGCAACACGTACACGTCCGAGTCGGGGAACACGCAGAGCACTGAATGCTAGTGCTTTATATGCTTATTCCTTCTCGGAAAACTCAGGTGTAGAAGAAGATAGATTAAGGAAAGGGGTCAACTGATGTGTGACACCATTTGGATGTTTTGAACTGATATACATTTGCAGTGAAAATGAAAATCTTTGTCACAACATTTGGAAAAGCTCCAGCGTACAACCTTCCTGATATACCTCTGCTTATGTATTTTAATCTCAGGAGACCTTTTCAACATTTATCCCTCACTGTTGACAGGCATAGAGTGCTGAGTGGTGACCACAGAGAGAAGTGGCAGCATCAGAGCCAAAATAGCACATTAAATATTCATTATTTGATCTGAAGTCATTCAAAGAAAAAAGAAGATAACAGGGAAATGCTGAATACCTGCTCTGATAATCGTTCAACCCCTAATTTTTTAGGTTTTTGAGGACATCTATCTGTGGTGACGACATCCTGAAGGTCTTATGCTGCCTTAAGTTACTGCCTTTTAACAGTTGTTGTAAATAAATGTAGTTTTGAATATCTTTTCATAAAGCTATTTTCTTTCAATGGCGTTTTTTTAATGCTGTAACTGAGATATGAACATTAGTCATTTTTAATGTAACTGGTTTGATGTATTAATTTTATTAAGATGAATTCTGTCAGTTGTTTTTGTGTGTGTGTGTGTGTGTGTGTTTTTTTAATTTGCCAAGACCTGAAGCTTAAATCTGTAAATGGTACATATTAAATGATACATTAAACAAGATAAAGGATTTTTTATTTTTATTTGTACAGCTATGTTTTAATATTTGCCAATAAAGATAACCGTCCAGCTACCTGTGATTTCCCCTTTCACATCATTCAGAAGTCTTAATAAAGCATCAAGTTCTGTGTTAAAGATCTTAGAATACGTTAAAAAGTCTTGAATGTTTTTCTTGCGAGCCATAGGCAGTTTATGTGTCTGACTGTGGCCTTTCTGGAGACAGAAGTGGGCTGGTTGTGACAGCGGATCTATTTTGTTGTTGTTTCTTGTACAGTGTCCTTGTACTTGTTCATCTTTTCCACTGATTAAGACGTCTGTTCCTTCAGATCTTGGTCACATCAATTAAACTGATGTCAATGGAATTAATTCCTGTTGTTATTATAGTCGAGGTCATACGCTTCCATGCTGCTGGTTTTCCGTCCTGCTTTTTTCTTTTTTGTCAGCCCAGGATAAAGCAGGCATGAAATTGCAGTCAGTGAGGTTTTTACAAAGGTGTGTAAAGTTTTTGGAACCCTGTAGGTAACCTGTATTATGGTGTCAACATTCCCTCTGACTGTTTTGTGAAGCAAGAAGCTGGAAAGGTCAAGCTGGATGTGCCTTATTTTCAAAACCAACACTCATATTTACCCTTTACTCTTAAATCAGGGTTCTTTCCAAATTCCTTTATACATCCTGTAGCATCGTTTACCTGATCTTATCACATTATTTCTGTGTAAACTAATGTTAATGTAAGAATCCACTCTTTTCTTTACTTAAATGGCTACAAAGCACCAAAGAGATTCATGTTTGCTCCCGTGGATGATTACTGTGTTTACATGGGAGAGAGCTGCACACACACAGTTACCCTGAACTAAATAAGATAAATAAAATTTTAAAAAAGGCATATCTTAAAGCATACTTTACAAAATTAATCAGTTTGTATGTTTTAGTCTGAAAAAAAGTTCTGATTTTCCCTTTATCAATTCCTTTAACTCAACTCCAGCTTGTAAAGAATGCTGCAGAACAGATTCTTACAGCAACAAAGTATGTCATGGTGTCACTGTTACATATTTACAGTGAGTGTTAGGTAGCTTTAGCGTTGTGCTTTTAGGATTTAACGAATGATCCTGCATGATGAGGGAAGAGAGATCACACTGTATTAAAACAACCAAACAGGGTGTGTTCACAGACACTTCATTTCTGCAGAGTTAGCAGAAGTCATAATAAGACAAAGAATTCAAACTCTCTATCAACAGACCAGAAAATATGTATTGCTATTCAATACTTTTAGAGGACAGTTCATAAATTTGCCCACAATAATTCATCCACATGAATATTAACTTCTTTTTACATTTTTTAAAAAAAAAACATTTTTGTACTTTGATATATCTGCTGTAACTTACTACCTATGTTCTGTAATAAAACCTTAAAAAGTAGAGCTAAAATGATATGCTGATACTTTAATGTTAACTGATTTTAAACTGGATTTTTGGAGCTGTTATCAGTTTCAAGGGTTTTAGCAATATATCAAATTTAGTTTAAAAAAAAGACTTTTAAAAACAATATATTGGCTGCATTTCCTAATATCTTTATTAAAATTACATTTAAATAGGAAAATAATGGAGTTATTGTGCATTTACTTTCCAGGAATGCATTTCACAACTTAGTTTACAACTTAGCAAAGCTCGACTCTGCATCACCGTCTTCTCAGCTGTGAGCTCTCAGTAGAGTTTGAGCTGCTCTACTGGACAAACTGTGCGATGATAATATTTCTAAATTGTTCCAAGTATATTTTTTTTAGCGCCATGCTCTGCAAAACAACAAAAAAAAAGTTTTCGTATCAGACAACGTGTACACCGACGCTGATTTAACTGATGGTTTGAAATCTGGCTGAAGGCTCTCACTGATTTTTTTTTCAAGCAAAATTGTATGTTTCTAACTTCTCAAACATGAGAGATTGCTGCATTTCCTTGTCTTATATCACAACAAGGGGAAGCATTGTGGTGCAGTGGTTAGCATTTCTTACAACTAGAAGGTTCTGGGTACTGTGTGTTTTGCATGTTTGCATGGGTTCTTTTCTGGTCCTCCAGCTTCCCCTCACAGTCCAAACACATGCTGAGGTTAACAGCAGAAAACGGTGCCATGGGAGACTGAATGCATCTGGGTTTTGGTCTCTTTATTTGACAGTGTCACATTTTAAGATGCACTGTTCGACTTGAGGAACTCACAATGAGCCTTTTTAGCCCAACCGTTTTCAAGAAGCTGTAAAGTAATTGGCAGATTTATTCATGTTAAAATATGTGTTTACATTTCCATCCCATAGCAACATGTTTTGTTTTGTTTTTTGCAATTGTGCACATGATTTCCACAAAACTGTAAATGTCTATCTTTCATTCAGCCTTTACTTAAACGAAAAATACACTGAGACATTCACAATGTAGCTGAGTTAAAAAATAAATACATTTTAAAAAAAGAAAGAAAAGAAAAAAGAAAAACAAGATGTGAGCCCACAAAAAAGAATGTGGATAACAATGCAATAAAAACAATAATTAATAGCATTTAGAATTTTAAAACAAATAAATGAACTGAAACAAAAACAGCTGGAAGTTTAAAAAAAAGAAAAAAAAATGAGACAAAAAGCCACAGGAATAAAAATAGAGTCATGCTTTAGTTTGTGCTACATGTTACTGCATGTTGCAGGTGTTCATTGAGTAAAACTGGATTTTCCAAGCTTGTAAAAACAAAAATACACCTGCAGTGTAATCCAAGCATTTGTGCGATAAAGACCCGCATTACCAGGTTGCTATGAGACAACATAAGGGGGTGGAAAAAAAAAAAACAACAAACCAACGAGGGCCATATGAATAGACAAAAGCTGTATCTATCTCACCTTCCAGAGAGGGAGGGACAACCAACCTCAGCATACAGCTCCCAGTGAAGAGTAAAACTATAACCAGCAATAAATGTTAATGCAAAGTGATAGACAGTGAAGAACAATGAAGATGCAATTAAAAAGGAACTGAAATCAACAACTATTTGTGCTCAGAAGTTCCCGGCGCTGCCTTTAGGGAGGAAATGTGCCTGTTTGTCATACCTTATCTAACAGTACAGTCTTTGTTGATTGCATACCACTGACAACAGAATTATATAAATATGAGTGTAGATTTTAGTGCTTTTTTTTTTTGTATAGCAGCTTTCATGCAGCACGTGTGTCTCAAAGTGCATTAGCATTAAAAATTACATTCAACTTTATTGTTAATGCATAATGACAAATAGGCACAGTTTAGTATCTAAGCACAATTGCAGAAGAAGCAGTAAAATACAGTATGGCTGTTAAGAGTATGAACAGAATGAACAGTGTGCACAGAGTGGTATTACCATAGTAAATGTGTAAATATAATAGCTGTAGATAAAAGTGTAAAAAAAAAAATAAATTGATGAAGATATATACAGTTAATATACAGTATGAAGTAAAAAATAACATGAAATAAAAAATAAAATTAATACAGAAATCTAATTCTACAACATTTGTTAGAGATCTTTTATAAAAATATGTCATTTATGCGTCACTCAGTGCTTTTGCTGACCCTGGAAACACTGAGCGCCATGACTGAAACCAGCTACGGGAAAACTACCTGAGGGCAGGTGGGCGGGGCGGAGGTGACGCAGGCGCACTGGCAGGTAGTCTCGGGGCGCGTCCTTCAGGGTCGGGGGTGTTAGCAGGCATTTAAGGAACCGCTGGAAGCTGACTCTGTAAAACACAAGAGGAGCGGAGAGAGTCTAAAGTACGAGAACATGGATTTTACACGTGTGCTGTCGCTCCTGGTGGTTTTCTGCGGGGTTTGTGCCGCTGTTGCTCCTCCAGGTGAGTTCACTGCTTCCTGTCTGCTGGTGTCTGAAGGCTGGGTCGTTTACATACCGAGCTGCTCACACACCGATACTCCTATCAAAGGAAGAGCATGACTGAGATTATTCTGATATAATTTAGGCATTTTTAAGCTTACTGCATGAAAATATGTTTGGTTAAATAAAAGACTTTTTGGTGGAGTTGATATTGTTTCCCTTGGGTTGTGGTCCGCTCATAAAATAAGAGGAATGTCGGGAAATGTAGGCTGAGGCGTTTTTAATTAGTCCAAATTTAAACAAGAAAATAACATCGTAGAGTTTAATTGTTTTGTTGTTGTCTTTTTTTGGACTGATTATTCGATTTAGTTGTATTAAGATTAACCTAATTATCATCTGTAATACAACTAAATCTGTATTCTAGTTTTAATTTAATACAGTTTCATTATAAGTTGATCTGTTCGTGATTTATCTTTTGCTTCTTAAGTATGTTTTAGGATGAAAACAATGAAAAGTGCCCATGTTAGAGCCTAATCTGACGTTTTCAAAGAATGTGTTTAGATCAACCAGCAAGCTTGAACTACAAATACTTAGTTTGTGGTGTAAAATACACGGAAAGGCATGAAAACGATCACATTTGAAAGAAGTAGTCAGACAATGTTTCATTTAAAATTATAAGTCTGGAAATCGGTATAAGTAATTGATTCACTATTAAAATAGCTACTAAAGCATCGCGTATCCATCCTATAAATTATATTATTCAACCGTTTGTTTCAAAAACTACAGCAACCAATGATTATTGTTACTGATGATTAATCTGTTGATGTTCTCCATTAATTTGATAGTATTTTGGTCTATAAAATATCAGAAAATGGAAATAAATCAGTGTTTCTCAAAGCCCAGGAGGGCAAATTTAAATATTTGTTTCATCCACAACCCAAACATATACGGTTTACTGTCATCGAGTAGGGAAGAAACAGAAAATATTCACATTTAAAAGGCTGGAATCAGAGAATACTGATTTTTTCTTATTGAAAACTTACAGAAATACATAACTGATTGATGAATCATTGCAACTCCAGTTTCAGCCCTGATCCATGTTTATTTCTTCTATATACTTCAGGTAAAGGTCGGGGCTTTGGTGGCTTTCAGGACCCTAAAGACTCTAATCGTTACATTGTGGATGATGCAGCCGCCGATACGCTGAGGAGCAACCTCACCACCGTCTTCTACCCAATCATCTACATCATCGTGTTCGTGGTGGGGCTTCCCGCAAACGGCATGGCCATCTGGGTGTTTCTCTTCAGGACCAAGAAGAAGCACCCTTCGTCCATCTACATGGCCAACCTGGCTCTGGCCGACCTGCTGTTTGTCATCTGGATGCCCCTGAAAATCGACTACCACTTCAGCGGCAACAACTGGAGCTATGGAGAGCCGCTGTGCAAGGTGCTGGTGAGCTTCTTCTACGGGAACATGTACTGCTCGGTTCTGTTCATCGCCTGCCTCAGTGTGCAGAGGTACTGGGTCGTGGCTCACCCTCTGTCTCAGCAGAGGAAGAACAACAAGCTGGCCATCGGGGTCTGTGTGGCCATCTGGGCGTTCATCTGGCTCACCACCACTCCTCTTTACTTGTACGACCACACAGCAAAGCTCAAAGACCCCAACATCACCACCTGCCATGATGTCACCATGATAAAGGACTCAAAGAACCCATTCGCCTCGGTCCAACTCCCCTTCTACTACTTCGTCTTCATGGGCATGGTGGTGTTCCTCGTCCCTTGCGTAGTCATCATCGTGGCCTATATTATGCTGCTCAGAGCTCTGGGGAACACTATGGGGAACAGCAGTGCAGCGAAAAACCGACAAAAAGCCGTGGCGCTGATTGTTATCGTCCTGGTCACGTTCGTGGTGTGTTTCATCCCAAGCAACATCATGCTGGTGCTGCATTACTCTCTGCTAAAGGACGGAGTGGTAAATAACGGCTACAGCTTCTACACCTCCACGCTGTGTCTGGCCAGCCTGAACAGCTGCCTGGACCCGTTCATCTACTACTACGTGTCCGAGGAATTCAGGGAACACGTGAAGAACACTCTGCTGTGTCGCAGCAGCAGGACTGTGGAGAGGATGAGAGTTTCCTTCAGCTCCATGAAGTACTCCAACAAGAAGAAGTCATACATGTCGAGCACTGGCACCACAGAGAGCAGCACTTGCTAGTGCCAAAACCAGAGAACAGACTTTGATCAGATATCGTGCATCGTGTCGGTGCTTGCACCATGTTGCACTGACGTGGTAGCACTGAGACGCAGCACTGTCTACTGAAACTCCACCTGCATAAACCAGGCAAAGCGTTACGAAACCAAAGATGGACTCTCACTGTGAAGATAACCGTGGTGGGAAGAGAGCAAAGTACAATTTATGTTGCATAATGAACTGCTGCTTGGTGTTAAAATGTGAAGTATGTTTTATTTTTTGTAATATATTCTATTATACATAGTTGTGCCACTCGTGCGAGACACGTCTTTGCTTTTTCCCACGATTCCGACTGACTGGACCCCTTCCTTGAAGATCACTGAAAGCAGATGGCATCTGTTATTAAACAGCCACATTAACCTCATGTTTAGAGGAATGGAACGCGAGAATATATCTAGAAAATGTTTATTTAATACTCATTCCTGTTGCAAGTTTTATTTTGTGATTTTAAGCCTCTTGTGCCGAAGCTTTTTTTTAATATGAGGAGGAAAGAGGCAGCATTGTTACACTGTTTGTTTGTTTTTTGTTGTTTTTTTTAATAAATGATAAAACAGCCAGATAAAGTTTCTGTGAAACTCCTTTGTGCTCTTGCATAACAGATTAAAGTCTGCGTATCGAGTGAGTCACTGACCTTGTTACTGTCATGCAGCTAGAGACTCATTGTCAGGGATCCGTCTCTCAGCCTGGTGGAATCTGTGGAATGTGTTGTGTGGAAAATCATTGATACAAAGTGTACAGACCAGTTTTTAAAACAACTTTAATGTCCGTTTAGATGTTAATCAGTTGGTTTTGTGTACAAAAAGCCAGACATGAGAAAACAGGGTCAGAGCAGAGGGAGTTAAAGAATGCTAAAGAGCGTGATGAGGCATGTTCTATCCCAACAGGTCGTCCTCCCACAAGTTTCTGCGTGGGTCCACGTCTCAGCTGAGTTAGAAACACAAACATTCAAGATTCAAGCCAGATATGCTTCTTTTAGAGTTATTTTGATTCATGGGTGAGACCTTTCCTCCTATTAGCTGGGCTTTTTCTTAGTTTTAGTTCAAATTGAAGCTCCTACAATTAGTGTCCCACATTTTATTTTCAACTGAGACCGCTCATAGATATTTCCCTCTGAAAGACAATGCATAGACAACAAAGGGGTGTTCTGCACTGAGGTTAAACTCCCCTGTGGTCTTTTGCCTGTAGATAAGGAGTAAGTGACCTGCTGTGAAGCCCCACCCAAAGAGTCCACCATCCCCCAGGTGCACTCACAGGCCTGATAGGTTCCTGTGTAAAGAGCTCTGGGCTGTTTAGAGGTAAATGGTTGTAGTGGAGTGTCGTCTTACCTTTTGTCCGCCCTCTGAGTAGAATACCTTCCTTTCACACGTTGAGGGCAGAGCCGCACCCTGACTCTGCATTTACACAGCTCCGCTCAAACCCTGGTGACTGACACTGTGTAACCAGAATAAAAAATAAACGTTCATCACGTGCACCACGTCAGTTCTGAGCAATTATTTTATAACAAAGACTCCTGTGGCTAAAACGGATACTGTTAAAAACAATATGACAAATAGGGGATTATATACACTATAAAAAAACCTTTTCTTAACAGTTTTTAACTGTAATTTGAAAAAAAAAAAAAACAGTTAACTGTCATTTAACAGATTTTCCTTACTTTGGTAGGTAATAAAAAAGCAAAAACAAAGTTGTAATTTATGTTTTAGCCTTAAAATAAACAAGATTAAACTTTTGCAATGTTTTACCATGTTTTCTTTTATTGTATTTAAATGTGTTTGCATTTTGTATTTTGAGGTTTGATTAATAAAAGGGGACTGCAAGGTGGCGCATTTGTTTAGCACTGTTGCCTCGCAGCAAGAAGGTTGCCGGTTCGCATCCCGGTAGAGTGCGTGGAGTTTGCATGTTCTCCTTTTGCAGCGTGGGTTCTCTTCGGGTTCTCCGGCTTCCTCCCACAAGGTCCAAAAACATGTTGAGGTTAATCGGTGATTCTAAATTGTCCGTAGGTGTGAATGTGAGTGTGCTTGGTTGTCTGTCTCTAAGGTCCAGGGTGTCCCCTGCCTTCACCCTAAGTCAGCTGGGATAGACTCCAGCCCCCCTGCGAACTAGTGAGGATTAAGCGGTGTATAGATAATGGATGGATGGATTAATAAAAGGTGTTTTAAACTGTTTGCAGATTTCCCTGTTTTGTTAAATTACAGATAATATCAAATCTTTTTTTTTGTTTGTTTTTTTTTTTTACAAAATTACAATATTTTTACTATTTTTACAGTTTTGAATGTTACAATATTCCAACTTCTCCAATCCAGCTCAAAGATATTGTTTCCTCTTCCTAAAGAACTTGACAAAGGTGGTGACAGGATCAAAGGCTGTCTGAAAAGACTTTAAACAACACATGTTGCCTTTGTGAACTTTAAAGTGCCGGCTACGTCTCTAACTGACATGCAGCGTCCAGTATGTCAACAGCTTGTTTCCGTCTTTGTCTCGTCATGTGTGACATGGTGTCATTTGAATAAAGCTGCATTTGAAGGAAGCCTTTTACATTCACTGGTCAAAGGTGTGTCTGTGTGCTGGTGACGCTTTCTGATCGTTGTCCTTATAAGGCCACACCTCAACAGGCTGTCAAATAACCTGGTTTTTGAGAATCTGCCAAAAGGTTTTTCATACACAGTTGGCTAAATAGAAGCCTTTTCTTATCAGATCGGTAATAATTAACCTTTCTCTGAATCAGAAAAAAGAATCACTGCATGTTGTATTTGTATTTCTGCTGTTTATCGACACACAATTGAACTTCCAAGTTGGGAAAATCATGTTAGGAGTGGACTTTAATAGAGTTTGCGACCAAAAGAAAAGTAAAACCTTATTTTAAAAAAGGCTGCATACAAACATTTTAGTTTTCTAGGTGTCCCTCATAAAAACAAGTTTGTACACAACAGATTTCTCTGCACAGCTTTCAGGGAAACTGTTGGTGTGAACCATAATTATGGGCTTTGATAGCTCCACATGCATATTTACCATGACTGCACTCCGAAAAACTCTGCATAGTTTCAGTCTTTAGATGTTGTTTGCTCACTTTTGTACTTGTTCGAGGCTACAGAAATGTGATGCAGCACATTAGTTCTGTTTAGAGGAGCTATTAGTCAGACTCTGTTCCATTTTGACAGTACCAGGGTTTCCAATTCCAGTTTTGTTGCTAAACTTCTCATTGTTCTCACCTTACCACTAAAAAGGTTGCATTAAAGCTACTTCTGCTGTGACACACATGCATTGTACATGTGGTGGTTTCTGTTGCATAGTTCCATGATGCAATGTTTACGGAATGTCCATAGGTATTTGCAAGTTGCAACCAAACCTTGGTTAACCACAAGACTGACACACAGTCACCCACAAGAATATGAAGAAAATATGAGATGACTTGCTAAAAGTTCAAACTGACAAGACCTCATGCAGCAGATGCATTTATTGGCAAGAAAAGCATTTTTAATCATAAGACTTGCAGACTTGCTTTTAGAGCTCGCTACACTTCTGACAGTAAACTGGCATAACTTTTCATTCTTAAGTTACATTTATTAACTTAACATTAAAAAATAGCTTCCTAATGGTGACAATGCATGCACATAATAGATGTATTCCATTCCCAGACACTAGGATAAAGCCTGCTTTATATCCCATTATTAGAATAAATTCAATCGTGACACACAGACAGTCATGCTTGAGGCATCTGAATGCAGTGTTACTACAACAGCATAACCTGTTGCAACAGTCAGTTCCCAGAAACATGCTAAACCGGTTCTGACTGCAGGTCCATGGTGAACAACAACAACAATGGGAGAAGAGTCACGAGGAGATCTGGCCTTTCCAGCACCACAACAAAATCAGTGTAGTTCCTGTTATTTAATTAGATGTACATGATGAGAAGGGTGCGTTTCCCTATTTTACTGCTCCGGCTTAATCTCTTCTTTGCATGTAATAGTATATATTGGTAGCCCTCTTTCTCTTCTGTGACGAAGAGGGACCTCTGCTGGCGTGTTTGTTGAATTTTAATAATGTGATATATAAGTAAAAAATGAATCATTCTGCAAAAGTAAAGTGATCTTCGCATCAGTTAGAAACACATTCACCTGAGCATTTATTTGAGAAATATCTAAGTCAATGCAAACATTTGATTTTATGCTTCAATTTTTATTTAAAGAGTAAAATTGGCGGAAAAACTCCTAAAACTGCTATTGTTGCACCAATTTCCATAAAAATGCAACATTTTTGCATGCCTTATTGATGAGTTTAATTAAGAACTCCTCCAGTGAGAGCATTTAGCCTGAAAGAGAGACTGATAGATTAGCATTGCACCCACGCATCATACTGGGATGCAGCTAAAAGAGCGCTATTCATGCGTGTGAGAGGGTCAGTGCTGAGGAGGGAGAATGTACGTGCTAACGTGTGTGTAATCGCTCTGACAGATCACACCATCTACCGTCAGCCAACACTCACTGAGAGCTGCTTAGTGAAGCTGGACAACACACATCTCAATGGTTTTTACTACTTTTATTTGACCGACCTGAGAATGTCATGGAGGGAAACAACAATACATTATAATAAATGAGAAATCTCTATGAATAAGAGATAAATGTACATAATACAACAGTACAGGGTTATCTATACTATCATTGTACACAAAAACGCACATATAAAAAACTCTTTTTCACAACTTACCAGACAGTCAAAAAAAACAGTTAAATTGATTATCAGCAGTGGAAGAGACCAAAAAAAATAAAAAAAAGAGTAGGGTGAGCCAGTGTAATCATATCTAAGAGAAGGGAAAGACTGGGAGACGGGACAGAGATCAGCAGGAGAGGAGAGAGTGAAAAAAACAAGTATGTTGGAATGAGAGCAGGTACAAAAGAGGCAGTTTGAGTAAAACAGAGGCAGAGTCAATAAGAGATTCATTGGAGCTCTAGTCTTTTCTCCCTTTCATCTCGTCTGGCTCTCCCGTAGAAGTCTGGCTGGAGGGAGTTGGCACAATGTGGGTGCCCCCCAGCCAGTCCCAGTGAGAGAAAAATGGGGCGAAATTGGTGCCAGGTCGCTGGTGGTGGGCGTCGTGTTTAGGGGCACCACCCCAGAGGCCAAAGGGCACCAGGTTGTGCAAGGCCCACGGGAAGTCATAGCCGCAGTGGTCCTCGGTGGAAACGTAGACATTGAAGACCATGAAGCCCCACGTCGTGAGACAGTGGCACTGCAGCAGGATGGGGTCGATTGTGGCCCAGAATCCCACGCTGAACAACTCCCAGCCCGAAAGGTACTGGGTGACCAGGCTGAACGGCTGGTTGTACTGGTGGTGCACGGCGTGGAAGGTGCGGTACAACCAGGGGACCCGGTGGTGCAGGAGGTGCCACAGGTAATACTGGAAGTCAAACACCACCATGCAGCCCAGGATGCCCAGGAAGAAGCTCCAGAGAGTTGGTGCTTCACGGGGCAGGGGGGTCGGCGGCCTCCACAACCACTGAGCAACCGCAGCAGGGAAGATGTAAAACAGGTGGTTGTAGATGGTGACAGACAGGGTGGTCCAGATGT